ATCGACGAGGCGCGCACACAGGATTGGACCGCGAAGGCTCTCCGCGACGCTGGTGCCTTAGACATACAAGCTCCTCGCGTATTCCATGCGTTTACGGCAGATTACCGCGGGTACTCGATTGGCTACATCGCCATGGAGTACATCGAGGGTGTAGATTGCAGCTCAAAAGACGGTGAACTAGTTGCGAAAGCTGTCCAGGCATTGATCAGCCTCCAAATACCACCAAACGCGACACTCGGGCACATTGGCGGCGGTACGAGATCTATTGTACACTCCTTCTTTCCCGAGTGGCTTCCCAACGCCGATTACAAGTCTGACCAGGACTTTTATGCTCACATCAACAAAGTAAGTGTTTGCCGATGTCTCAAGGTCCTAAGGCTAACTTAGAGCTATGTTAGATATTTAAACTCCTGCGCATCGATTTTCGTGGCGATATATCTAGCCACAGTCGATTCCTCTGCCCTTCCGATTTCAACTCGGGTAACTTCAGGAAGCGTACGATGGAGGATGGCCGGTTAGTAATAGTGGTGTTGGATTTCCGTGCGACATGCATTATGCCACTCCCCTTCATCGAGGTTGCACTGAAGAAGCCTCGGGATAGCTTTAGCCAATCAATTATCGAGAAGATCAAGTATCCGCCGTCGAACGATGCAAAATTTTTACTCTCCGCCTCTGGTCCTCTTGTTCAGTACGGTCCGAAACCAGTCGCACTCCCAGCGGGCGTCAGTCCTAGAATTAATGGCAGATAATGTGTTGGTGCTACCATACAAGGGTACCTTGGTGCTTGGCGCTTTTCTTAAGGTAGTTTACAGAATATTGTCACGATAAACCCGAAACACGGTTACTCGACCTAGAGATCATGGAATGGGGAAAAGGAGGATCAGTGTTGACGGTGCACTCAAGATGATACAACGTGTAGTACTGTTACATGTAATACAGTGACTTTCAAGTGAAGTGATATAACTTTAGCTACTCGTCTGCTCCGCTTGTGTTTAGGTGGTGGCATGAACGTTGAGGAGAACCTTGGCCTTTGGTTAGCCCTATAAATTCCAAAATAGACATACTAAACGGCAATGCGGTCTCTTTCTGAAGTTTTAGCCTCGCAAAGTGCTCGGAAATAATGAGGAATGTCTTATGAGCCACTGAGTCATCCGCACACAACAAAAACGTTTAATTAGCAAGCTTACGGTGCAATCGAAAGACCTGACATCGTCGTCGACGGTAGTACAACTGATAATTCTTCGTGGTTCGTATCCATTGCGCTTATCGTAGACTTTGAAGAAGATAGTTTGGTACATGACACTATCGCGCCAGGTTAGAACTAATCCTGTTCACATTTACTGGTGTACGTACTCAGGATATTACATAGCTGCATTCTCAATATGTGCTGTCTCTTTTCATCCAGCCGTTCTTTGATATGCCACATCTCTGAATCCCAGCTCTTCGATCTTGCCATGAACTAGATATCTACAACAGAAACTTAGAAAGACTATAGCTTCGCACCATATTGTTCAACCCATTCGCTGAAGTAGGCATTGAGATTGGTATGTTCGAGGAGATTATTGTGGTAAGAGGGTAAGTCGTAGAGTAGTTGCAAGCTTTCGATCGCCAGTTAGTTGGCTTTTGTGCTCGTGTGCCCAAGATGATGGAAAAGGCATGTATGTAGACCCTGCAGCGATCACAGCAGGTAGACATGCACAGAAGAAACACCAACACCACTACTAAAGTACATCGTAGATCCAAGTATGACTCGGGCAAAAGCTTAAGTTATGTCTTGAAGTTAGAGGCTGAGTCCGTTCGGTTCAAGTTGAGTTGAGTTAGATACGTCTATGTCGCGATTTGAATAATTTTCAGAGTAATCGTCCATCGCCGCATTGCAAACTGGCTGCAGAGAAAGTATCGAAGCAAATGTAACTTTCCAAACCTTGACCAGGGTACAGTCATTAGCAGTTCACGAAGACAGAGTCTGAGGTAGCTGGTTCGTCGTGTACTTTGTCGCTTGCGAAGAAACATCAAGAGTTTGTTGAATGTTCTTTAAAATTATTTGCCAATAGTCCCACATCACGTGATGGTCCACGACATGACCTGCCCTTAAGCAATTTCCACAGCCACTGCATTTTTGTTTCTCCCATCGTTCGCCGCATTCACTACAATGTTCGAAAACGATAATGTCTATTCTGTATCTGTGCTGGATACCGCTCCAGCGACATCCCCAGATACACCTGCAGAAACCGAGAAATTGCTGTTAGAATTTCTTCAACAGTACAGAGTTGGGGGAGAGTTTATCTACAGGTATGAGGGCATTTTGATTTTACAAAGCCAGAAACTAATGTATATAAACAGAGACAAGCTTCGTGCAAATCTTCTTCTCAAACAGCACTTGCTGGAAGTAGACCTTCGACACATCAGTCTCTACAACGACGAACTGGCACACGCGATTCAGGACCAACCTGCAAATGTTTTACCTTTGGTGTGTTAACTGTCGTGTTTTTGGAACAGAGCGTACTCAATTCTCTCTAGTTTGAAAATGCAGCTGCGCGACTAGCTCGTTCAATTATTTTTCCTCGTTCTCAGGTCTCCGAAGACCTGACAAATGCTGCCAAAGAGGCGATACCCAAAGTCCAAATTACCCTCCAATCTAGTCTCAATCTCCTTCAGTTCAGAGATCTCACCGCCGACACAATGAACAAGCTTGTTCGCCTGCCAGGAATCGTCATTGCTTCCTCTACACTCTCGTCTCGCGCGACGGAGCTTCATCTCGAATGTCGGTCGTGCCATCACGTTAAAAAAGTTTACCCATCAGGAGGCTTAGGTGGTATGGGCAGTGGATCAGATAGGGGACTTCCTCGAATCTGCGAAGGACCTAGTCCTCCGGGGAATGACAAGAAAGATTGTCCATTGGATCCCTATCAAATTATCCATACTCGATCGACATTTGCAGACCAGCAAACGCTAAAACTTCAAGAGGCTCCCGACATGGTCCCCGTTGGAGAGCTACCGCGACACATGCTGCTTTCTGCCGACAGACATCTCACAGGAAAAGTAGTGCCAGGTTCGAGAGTTATTGCCACCGGAATCTACTCGACATTCCAATCGAAAAACGTAAGCTTATCCCGCTTGTTTTCTCTCATCAAATGCTCAGTCATCCCTTAGAAAATGGACAGCGCCGCTACGCACAAGGCGTATCTTCGCGTGATCCATCTGGAGCTCTCTTCGCCGGCTAGTGGAAGCTCGGCTGGTTCAAATCCTTTCGGCGTACAGTTCAGTCCTGAAGAGGAGGAAGAATTCGGTGAAATGGCTCGGAGCCCTGGCTTCTATGAACGCTTTGCAAAGAGTGTAGGTCCCAGTATTTATGGAAGTCTTGGTGAGTTGCCGTCTCCTCCGATGTCGAATACGCTCCTCATAGCAGAGTTCAGATATCAAGAAAGCCATCGCCTGCCTTTTGTTTGGTGGATCAAAGAAGGTTCTTCCCGATGGAATGAGGTTACGAGGCGATATCAATGTGCTTTTGCTTGGTGATCCCGGTACGGCCAAAAGTCAACTGCTCAAGTTTGTTGAAAAGGTGGCACCCATTGCCGTGTATACCTCCGGGAAAGGTTCGAGTGCAGCAGGTTTGACTGCCTCCGTTCAGCGAGATACCGTTTCAGTAAGGCATTATTTGTGTTTCCTTGCTGATTCCTGATGAGTTTTTCGTAGCGCGAGTTCTATCTTGAAGGAGGTGCCATGGTACTAGCTGATACTGGGGTCGTGTGTATCGATGAGTTTGACAAAATGCGAGACGAGGACCGAGTAGCAATTCACGAAGCAATGGAGCAACAAACTATCTCTATCGCAAAGGCTGGTATTACTACAGTGTTAAACTCACGTACCAGCGTGCTGGCCGCCGCAAATCCCGTTTTTGGGCGATATGACGAAGGTCGGAGTCCTGGAGAGGTGATTTTTTTGTGTTCGTCCTCAGAGCTGGTGTCCTGACTGGCTCCACAGAACATCGATTTCCAAACAACCATTTTGTCGCGTTTCGACATGATTTTCATTGTTCGTGATGAACACAACGAGACTCGTGATAAAGTGAGGTTACTGCTTTCAACTCATTGACTCTGTTTCCTGATACATTTTTTCCCCAGACAATCGCGAAGCATGTCATGAATATTCATATGAACCGACCAACGGCAGAATCTATCGAAGGCGGAGATGAAATCCCTCTGGATAAAATGAGGCGTTATATTGCTTATTGCAAGAGGTAAGAGAATTTTGTACCACACTTACATGAACAGAAACTCAAAGGTAATATAGTAAATGTGCTCCTCGACTCTCGCCTGATGCACAGGAAATGCTCAGTAGTCACTTTGTGAGTCTGCGAAAGCAGGTTCAACAGGTTGAGCAAGATAACGATGAGCGAAGTTCAATCCCTATTACCGTTCGGTAAGCGTTTTTTACTCCAGAGTTGTTCCATCGCATCTCACTCACTTGCGCAAAACAGTCAACTTGAAGCCATCATTCGTATATCCGAGGCTCTAGCAAAAATGACACTATCGCCTGTGGTGCAGAACCATCACGTTGAAGAATCCATCCGGCTGTTCAAATTCTCCACTATGGATGCTGTTTCTGCCGGTTCAGCCGATGGTATGTCCCGTGGTGAGCTGAATGAGGAGATGGTGCGAATTGAGAAGGAGATGCGGAAACGACTTCCGGTGGGGTGGAGTACGAGTTATCAGAGCTTAGTGAAAGAGTTCGTGACGCAGCAGGGGTGTTCGAGTCATGCGTTGGAGAGGACGCTGTTCATTATGGAGAAGAGAGAGATTATACGTTTCTCGAATCAGAAAAAGGTCGTCCATCGGTGAGTTTTTCAGTTGTTCTGCTTGGATATTGCTAACGAGTTTGTAGGGTGGGAGTGTAAATTGTATATCGTATAGTTCTTGCTTGTTGTATGTAACTCTTTATGTAGCGATCTTCTGTTGGTATCGAATGGTGATAGGCTTTGCAAGTCATCAACAACGTAAGCCCGCCTAGCTCAATCGGATAGAGCGTCAGACTTTTAAGGCGGGTGTGCTTGATAATCTGAAGGCTGCGAGTTCGACCCTCGCGGTGGGCTATATTAATTGTCGTGATGGCTGTGTGTCTCTATCTTTTATTATATGCGATAGACCTCCGTCGGACTCGGTTCGGAATCGCGGTTAAATGGTTTGGCGGTTGTTAGAGGCTGACATTTTTTGGCTCTGTCATTGTCAATTTGAATTTGGGCGCTGAACCTAAATTTGGACTGGGGCGGCAACAAACATCCGCCATTTGTGTAACGGATGATGTAATCATGATACTGCGGATAAAAAGACTCCCCAAGACTTGCTACATACAACCATCACCCTTCTACCATTTGCGCTTTAGCTCCAACCCAACTCAAACATCAATCGAAACCCTCATCATGTCTGAACCTGCATTGTACACTGCTGCTGACAGTCAGTTTGACTTGTTTGCAAGTAATGACGATGCGAAACGCCAGCAACAGCAGCAGTACCAGCAGGCATTTGACTTTGCCTACCACGCTTCTGCTGACCCATTGGCGCCTCTGCCTGATGAATTTGAGTCTGATCTTGATGCACTCCCCGGCCTGGATGACATTAACCTCGAGCTCTTAACGGTTGATCATAGTGCTTTTCAGTTTCTGCGTTCAGAAACTCCCACCCGCGGTCCCTTGTCAGCCTTGACTGTGTCCTCAGAGTCTGCTTACGACTCGCTTTCTGTACATTCAGAGTCTTTATATAGCTATTCTCCTCATTCCACATCCAACTACTCCTTTCCTCTCGATATGGATTTCCAGCACATTTCTTTAGATCCCTACGCTAGCACACAGGCGCAATCTCAATCACACCCTCTCAGCGCAATCGACAGCGTTGACCCAGTGGCAGTATTTGACGCTACTTTGCCGCCTACGCCGCCTCGTAGCCCCCCTCATCGCACACAAACTACGAAACCGTATGTTACCCGAGGCAGTTATTCTGACTGTGGTGCTCCCACTCGCAATTCCATCTCAACAAGCGACTACTATAACCAGTTGTCCAACTATGGAGTTACGGTTTCTCCTGAGTATATCAGCTCCCCGCTTCCAGTTGTCCCTTCCATTCCTCTTATCCCTTCATCGGAAGAGTACAAAGGTGATCCCCGCAAGAAATACAAGTGCAACATGTGTCCTCGTGGTACGTTTTTCTTTCTCATACCCCCAGCATTTTTTGACTCTTGTTAACAGCTTTTGCGAGAGCCTACAACCTAAAGACCCACGTAGCTACGCATGATCCAAATAGGCTGAAGCCTCATATTTGCCCTCATCGTGCATGCGGGCGTTCCTTCAGCCGCAAGCACGACCTTGGTCGGCATCTCGTTAGTATCCATCGCGACGAGTCTGTCTGCTCGTCTACCCATTCTGCATCGTCAAAAAAATCGATCGGAGTCGACAAGGGCAAACGTTCATGGTGTGATACCTGCGGCAAGGGAGCCGTCGGTGGACGCATCGCGTGTGATTGCAGCGAAAAAGTCAAGTAAATCACTCGTCGTTTGCCCCTTGTTCGCCCGAATCCATATGGATACACTTCACCCCACCTCGTTTGGCAAGCCTGTCTCGCAACGTCCTTCCCCTTTGCCTGGCCTCCCTATGCGCAATTTCTTGATATCGTTAATTACTTAACGGGACTTGGCACGCCCAGCCTCATCCGTTGTATCGCGTACCGTACCGCCTTGAAGTAGATGGTTGGACCGCTGTGTGTTCCAGTCTATTCTCTGGCCCCGCGACGGACGTGATCTCGAGATGAATACCACAATATCATACATATTTGAAATTATTATCTTTTTTTTATAAATGTTTCTTGACCTTTCTTTCTATCTTTTATCTTGATTCTCGCTGTGTCTTTGTCGCTGTTTCATGCTGTCTTGCTTATATTTGTGCTATGTTATCGATTATTTCTTACTGTTGTCAAAAAGGTTCGAATACAGATGAAATGAACTTTACTTTCGACTTGACTCATTGACTAAAGCGCAGTCAACAGCTTTTGGGTACTCTCAAATTTTAGGAAACTCCGAGATAGTCATCTCCATTCAAAAAAAAGATGCATCTTGCCATCTCTCATTGGCGACTATAGCAAGGTCCTCTTTCCTTCTCACGGCAAGAGAAGCTCTATATATTACCAGCGCTCAACCGCGCGATGATTTCGACTTCTAGTGTTCTAGCCATGTTATGCGTACCTTAATCTGAAAAAAGTACACCTTTTGAGATAGAGTACGATATCAGAAGTCGCTGTTTCCGGCTAGGAGCATATAAACCTCCGCACGCTAGGACCGTGTATCCACTAGCATAGATCTTATTCAATAAAAAACCGAGAAAACGCGCGACCAGCATGGTTGGAAGGATCATGCGAACGATCATGGGGAGGACAACTTGGTTGTCCTCAAGTTGCAGGTCTATGTGGAGAGCACTCACACCTATTCATGCAGTTTGGAGGAAGGCACAATAGATCGCTTGAAGATCCATTCCAGTGGTGTTGCGAAATGCGATTTGAAAAGCATCCAGGCAACGAGTCTGGTGAACCCTGAAACTGAAGAAATTCAACTGTCTAGATATCGATAGAGACCCGTCTGGAGGTCCCTCGATCACAAAGTCTACTAGTGAAGTTACCTACTGAAGCCTGAGGTGCGTGGTCCGATAGAGGCAACGGCGTATCCACTTCTTGTACTCTACCACATTAACAAGGGTGTAGGCACATCGATATTCCGTTTCCAAGAATGGTCATAACTGGTCTTTGGAGGTAGAGAAGGCTTTCGTGTTCTGATGATGCCAACGACTGCATGTCAGTGCTGGTGTTCGATCAACAGCATGCGATTGGAGTGTATTGTTCTGGTCACGCAGGATATACTTCAGCCTGGTGACTCGGATGGACGGTACAACAACGAAGTGAAGATGGTATTACACACTACCGGTAAACTCTTGAAAGAACTCCCTGGGTGGATTGTTTGTCGATTGTTTGACTTGGAGGCCATAGACTCCGGCCATTTCTGGGTTCTAGAGGTATTTCAGAAAGGGGAGGCCTAGCCACTTACCTTACTGCTCCCTTGAGCCCGAATCCCCCTGCAATTGTAAGGAGTGGCTCTTTTGGGAGCTCGATACTTGGATAGTGCACCCGTGAAGACTTGCCTGGTTAGTCGAGGTGTCTCCCCATCGCGCTTAAGAAGTTTCTGTACGACCAGCTTTGGCCGAGCCAATGGTCAATATCTTGCCGGCAGTTCACAGAAACACTTACTAGCATTCACAACTATTGCGTGGCGATAAACTTTGTGATGAATGTAGGACTTGCTTTGTCAAAGAGCTTAGTCTTTCTGTAACAATAGCATCCAGAATAGGGGGTTAGGCCAAGCCTCAGTGAAAGATTTATCATGTACATATGTATGCTGCAATGAGGTTAGTAAGTAAACTTCTGTACCAGCTGGCAGCACTAATGATGTCCTTGCCTATCGCAAGGTCAGGTCTAACTGGGGGGCAGTCCTCATCCTTGACACTTTCAACCAACCCTCCTTTATCTGGACTGGCTGACTCTCCGTGCTTCCCCAAGTCACCTGAGACGAATTTATTCCTACTTTCGAGAGTATGTTCAAGTGCACGTTTTATCCGTCCCCAAGATATTCGACCAAGCCAATGTCTAGAAACTACTTCCATGGTTAACCCAACACTCATGGCACTTCGACCATTGGAAGAGAACGATATGGGACTCAGGCTGAAACTCATTCCAGGCTGAGCGTCTTGGGTGCTATAGTGAACAACGCCTGTTTCACTATCGACAAAATAATAGACATTGTCTATGGTAATCTGGGAACCACATCTCATTAGAGTTAGCTAAACGAAGTACATTTTTGACTTACGCTGTGGGTCAGTGTCAGTGATTCAGAACCTCGGTAGGCACGTTTTGGAGTTAGATAGAGATAAAGAACCACGGAAAAGTCTAGAGGTAGAGGCATGACTTATTATGAGTTCAAATCAGGGTACTTCCAGCATCAATAGCTGCAAACGGCTTACTGGTCCAGGAGGTACAACTTCGGGGATGATCTCTGTGTTGCAACGGACTAAATATTTTTCTCCGCCAAACCCTGCTGGTCCACAGCAGAAGATCCTGAAGCCGTGTTGAGGAATAAGGGCCATAGATGTAAGTAGGTGTTTCGACAGTGATGGGACCATCTAGACTATAGTGATTTGATAGTTTAGAAAACAGAATGACATTCGTAGAACTGACCCAGCTTCTAATTGAAAGCATTGATCAGGTGCCATACTACTCATTACAATGTAGCCACAGTCGAAGCGGTATTGATCTAAAATAGCAACGGTCAAGAACGGTCACGTTAACCGAACATCCAACACCAATGCTCCGGCCCACTTCATGCTTCGGCCTTGAGGTGAACCGAGGATTGAGACAAGAATTGGATCTATCCAGTGAGGCCAGCATAACAAAGTAAGAACTTGAAATGGCGCACTATGGTCTGAATAGTAGAAATTACTATGGTCTTGCTCAGTTGACATTCCTCCCACTTTGCTACGGTAGCAAACCGTATCTCCTTGCCAGAGGTCATGATAAGTGCAAAGAATAATTCAGAGACCAGCCCCTTTCTGAGAAAATGTATCACGTGGAGCGTGACTGTCGATTTTCCTTTTCTGGACGACGTGTTTTTCCACCATGGATGTCAGCGACCTTCACCCGCCAGACGATTACAGCCATAGATTTTTCATTTGGCACGAATGGATTCAGGTATACAGACTGATTCTGTGAATTGATGTCTTTTTACAATGTTTTAGGCCAATGGACCACTCACTTCTGAAAACGTCTTTGAATATTTCACAACATCCATGTTTTATGATAAACAGAGTAATAACCAAGTCTTACGCATGCAGACAATGCATACGGGTATGCCAGTTGTAAACGAGGCCGAAGAACTCAAGTAAGTCTGGCAAACGTTGAGTAGCGGACTCTGGACATAAACAATCAATGCAGGCGATTCACTGGCGTCGAATTTGCGGTTGTACACGCTCAGCCTCCCTCATTCTTTGTCATCCACAAACGTGAA